CGAATGGACGACGGTAAGTTTTTTTTTACATTTTACTCTCTTTATTATTTTCAAATATTATTTATTTGCCATTATTTCCATTTTATAATTTTTTGCTTCTAAGATTCTAACATTCATTTACTACTAAGCTAATAAAAATAACTTGTCTACAGACTGATGAGAGGTGGGCAGTGGTGGGCGTCAGCACGTTTCAGATGGTGGTCTCATGATGATCGTTCCGATAACAACTCGAAGAAAACAACAACGACGATTTTTGAAGTATGGTTTAGTTTCGTTGTTTTTATTTTTTTCATTCATTCATTTTGTCACACAATCTTTCATTCATCCATTAATTGACTCATTCTATTCGTTCATTGAATCATAGATTGGTTAATTAATTCATTCAATCACTCAATCATTCGCTCAATCATTTATTCGGTTGTTCTTTCGTTTTAACATTCATTTACTAATAAGCCAATAAAAAAAATTTGTCTACAGAATGATCAGAGGTGGGTTGTGGTGGGAGTCACGTTTCATGATGGTAATCTCATGGTAAGATAAGTTGCTCCTTACTTTTTTTCAATGGCTTGTTTTTTATTTTAAAAATTTAACTTTTTCTTTCAATTTTGTTTTTCAGTATCCGGTAAAATTCATTTCCTCGGTGCGTGTCAGATGATGGTCGGTGCAATGGGTGAAGAAGTTTTTGGAGGGTACGCGCGCGCACATTTACATACACGCACACACATAAAAACAACACACAATACACAACATCCATTCATTCGGTGTCGTTGTTGTTATGTTTCTCTTCAACTTTCTGTTTTCTTTACCGGACTTAATTTAATTCATAGGTAAGTTAGGGATTGAGATGAGTTGAACAACTGTAGGTAGGCTAGGGCTTAACATTAGTTAAAAAGTTTCAAGTAAAATATTAACATTAACATAAATTAAAAGCTTCAAGTAAAATTAAAACGTTAAAATATGTAAAATAAATGAGTTGAGTTATCATTACAGGTAAGCTAGGGCCCTGAGAGTAATTTAATTGTAGGTAGGTGACTGACTACTATTCTTGCGACTTTTTGATATTTTTTTTTGTGGTGTGTTTGTTTTCGCTTCTTAGCACCACACAACACCAACAAAACAAACTACAATTTTTTTTGTCGTCGCCTTAAATTTTACCATTTTTGAACAATCTTTTTAATAATGTCTATTTATTTATTTGTAAAATGTTGACTGATTTCTAGTTTCTTATTTTGGTTATATAATTTTTGGATATTTCCTGATTTACTTTGTAAATATGCATGCATGAATAATTTCTGTTTGGTATGTTGATTTAGTCATTATGATATGCTGTGAACTGTCCTTACTAAATATTCATGTTTCGTGATAATTATTTTTTATCGATCGATATTTTGTTATATTTGTTTGTTTAAAATCTGAACTTTTTAAAAAATTGGCGTTTAACAAATTTTAATTTCGTCACTTTTCATCTTTTGATGATGTCAAATAAAAGCAACTGTTGTGTTTTTCTTTTCTTACTAAAATCTCGAATACAAACATGTACACATAAAGAGACACAGACACACATACATACAAACATACACATACATACACGCATACATACATACTGCCATCGTATATACGCAGTACAATAAACATTCATGTCATTTCTGTCAATGTATTTTAAGTATGTTATACTGTTAATCTTGTTAACTATGATGACGATCATCATCATCACAACCATCTTCAACGAACAACAATAACAACAATATAATAATAATTACAACAACAACGAAATAAAAATAGTTGTTCTCATTATGCATTTCAAAAGCTTGCATTCTTCTTTTAATACAAGCGTTATATATATATATATATATATATATATATATATATATATATATATATATATATATATATATATGTAAAAATTTAAAAAAATAAGCGGCTTTTTGAAGAATTTTAATTTTTAAATGTTAATGACTTTAAAATTGAAAAACATGAATGAAAAACGTTTAATGAAGAAAAGTATAATAAATAATTTTAAATGTTATAGTTCAATTTCTAAAACTAAATAGATCTATCCGCCGATTATGAAGTAAAAATCATGGAATTATATAACTGGAAGCGCCCTACCAGCGTTTTAACATTGAAAATTTTTTTCAACGGCAAGTTACCTCTGGAAGCAAGTTTCTGAAAATTAATAATTTGTTTTAAAAGTGAAACTATCTTTTTAACAGATACGTTTAAAATTTTGTTACACATTTTGTAATGTATCATATTTTTATAACTTTATAGAGGTTTTGTGGTTTTTCTAGTAAAAATTGGTTTAAAATTTTTATTTTTAACTTTTATTATAAGCTTTTATTATTTAGTTTAACTTTTAGTTGTACCGTGGGAGGAACTTATGAGTCTCTTTAAACTGTTGACTATAAATAAATATTGCTGGAAAAACCACTTTGCCGTCTCCGAGATTACCCAGTTTCTTACCATAAGTGTTATTTTAAATCGAATTCCACCCCATTATCGAATTATGAATGATTGCCACATAATTAATAAAAACCGGGCAAGGTTTTAAATGGTTTTAATCTAATATTTCTTTTTGACAGCTTTAAAAGTGCACTTGATGAAAAGAGTTTGAAAAGTGAATTTTGAGACAATTGCTCTTCTTTTCTGCGGTTGTTACTTCTATCCAAAGTAACACATTCCAGATCTCCCTGTTCCTCCGTAAAAATTTGTCAGCTGATTGCGTCAATTTTTACATTTTTTTTATAATTTTTGATCATTAATGTCAGTCTTCATTCAAAAATAGCTTAGACAAGATGGTTCTTATTATGATTTCTGTTCTATTGAATTACTACCGCTAGTGCTAGTACATTAGTAATTAATTAATTACTATTAACTTCTGAATCAACTTTTGTTTTGAGTTATTGTCGACTAATTGTCTTCCGTTTCACATCAGTAAAGTTTAATTAATCAGTTTAACTTTAAAATCCTTCAATAATTATTTTTTAAATAAATTTGTGGGTATTTAATAAATAAATTTGTGGGTATTTGTCTAAGTTTAGTTTGTGAATCAACAGAAGGAGGGTTATTTATAATTCTGACAAGAAATATGCCGCCTCCAAATAGTAATCAAATGAGAGCTCCTAAAACTAAAACTGCCCGCCGTATGTTGAAAATTGTTTTGTTAGGAGATGGTGGTGTTGGCAAAAGTTCTCTCATGAATGTCTATGTCACGGAACGTTTTGATCCTAATTCATCTCATACCATAGGCGTTGAGTTTCTTAAAAAGGAAATCACCACCCTTAATCGATCTGAAGTAGAGAATATTTATTTATTTATATTTGTTTATTTATTATTAAATTAAAATATTTATTTATTTAATTTTAAATCTAATTATACTTTTTTTTTCTGCTACTAAATAACTAAACAAACTATATATTTATGATGGTCTTATAAAAAAATTTTTCAGCCAACTGTTTTGCAAATTTGGGACACAGCCGGTCAGGAAAGGTTCAAAAGTTTACGAACACCATTTTACAGAGGATCAGATGCTTGTTTGCTGACATTCGCTGTCGATGATGATCAGAGTTTCAAAAATCTTTCCATTTGGCAGGAAGAATTTTGCAAATATTCCAAACTATCCAACCGAAACTGCTTTCCTTTTATAGTCATTGGCAACAAAATTGATGTTCCCGAGTCAGAAAGAAAAGTGACCACACAACAAGTTCGTAACTTATCAAGTTTTTCTGATTATAACTTAATTTGTTATAGTATTTGATATACTTTAATTGTTTTAGGCAGAGAGCTGGTGTAAGGAACATAACATGCCATATTTTGAAACAAGTGCTAAAGATGTTATAAACGTTGATAAAGCATTTACAATGGCAGCAAGCAAGGCAATAGAACTTGAGACAAACTTCAATGGAACCATTGCAATGAATGTACAGGGAATCAATTTGAATTCCTCTCAGCGACAACAAAAAAATGACAACAGTGGCTGTTGCTGACGATTGTCACATCATTTATAATTTTGATGCAGTAAACCGCAGCTGTCCACATATTCTTAAATTTAGACTATTTAATATTAACATATTTTATATTAAAACTCTGTATTGATTTATATTTTTATTCGTTTTATTTCCACTTGGCGTTGCATGTTGTATTCCATAACATCTAGCATAAATTATGTCAGTTGATACAAAAACGTAGTTTTACTTATTCAGGGCCCTAGACTGAACGCCTACAATTAGATTTGAACACGTACCTCAGATTTTAAAAAGATAGTAATTTTGCTGCAACGTTGTTTCGCGTAAATAAACGGTCTTAATTTTCTGAACAAGCGAAAAACAAAAACTGATATAGAAATTTTATTATCAAACTGATCAGCTATCAACAGCAAATGTTCAGTCCCACTGTTCACATTACAAACAGAATAAGGTGCGCATCCATCATTTGCCTGGCAGGATGACTCCGTCGTACTGAAAATAAATTGAAAATTATACTGTATAAGTTAAGAAATTAAAAGTTACAAATAATATGCACTGTGCTGGGGTTAGAACACATCAGTTAGAGCTAATATTATGAAAGTACACATGTATAACTTTCATACAAATAAATTAAATCATCATCTGTGTTAGATAGATCCTGGATAGCACAATCATTAATAATCAAATTTGATTATATTTTTCAACAAAATACAAGTATTAAATTGTTTTTGAACTTATAAAACATCTAGTGCAGATTGATTTGAAAGATAATCAAAATGCTTGCACTAATCAGTTAGAGCTAATATTATGAATAAAATCATAATTTATCATTTCAACTTTGTCATCATGTGGGTGCAAGCAATATATATATCTATGAAAGCACAGAAATTGTACAAATGCATCATCAAAAATTTAATATAATGCATTAAAACTAATAACAGCAAGGATGTACAAAGATACTTTTTGTTGGAACCATTTGATTGCTTCCTCCTTGGTGACTCTATGCTGGGGACCGACCTTGCCCACGGCCCTTCTCTTCTTCGATACATTATAACCTTTTCATGACAACAAATTAAATTTTCTTGTTGCATGAGCTCAGGAATTAATAACCTTATAATATCCTCATACATGCAACTAAATGCAAGCATGTATTTGTATAAACTTTAATGATTTATATTTCTGTATTAATATATATATATAAATCAGAAAAGTGTAATTAAAAACAATGGTTGCATCATCAGAGCCATGTCTTAACATTGTAACTTGCCATTAGGTGGCTGCCATGCTTATTTGAGGCAACCAAAGACATGTTACTTCAATTTTGCGCAGAGTTTGGTCATCATTTGATTGACATTTTTAAATAAAAAATAGCAATAGTTGCTTAGCATAACAAACCAGGTCTTCCTAGGACTATGTAATAATCCATGCCATAAATTCCAATATTCGGATCATATTTTATGCCCAAGTCAATGTGCTCTTGAATACCAAATCCAAAGTTTCCTGTCTCACTGAAATTCACTTTCCTCAATTCATATTCTTTAACCTTTATGAATTTTAGAAACACAAAATGAAAATATGATTAAAATCAATAACAGTATCAAACAAAAATGGTATCAAATAGTGTGAAGTGTGCTCACAATAACAGTAACACTGGATTCATAAAGAATACAATGTGTTGCAATAATGAGAGTTCTTCTGGCACAGCCCAGATGTTATATTGGTGTGCTTGACATCAATACATGAAATCAAGCAACCAACAACTATGCACATTTGATATTTACTTTGAAAAGTTAAACTTACTGAAATTAATAATTTAATAAAACAAAAACATATTTTAGAAATGGCATCAAATAGTGTGAAGTGTGCTCACAATAACAGTAACATTGGATTCATAAAGAATACAATGTGTTGCAATAATGAGAGTTCTTCTGGCACAGCCCAGATTTTATATTGGTGTGCTTGACATCGATACATGAAATCAAGCAACCAACAACTATGCACATTTGATATATACTTTGAAATTTAAACTAACTGAAATGAATAATTTATAAAAACAAACATATATTTCGATACTAAATTATATTTATAAGAGGATAATACAATTTTAAATAAGGACACTAGTTTTTTTTAATAAAAATAATATATTATCAACTTTTAATCCTTTATCAAGAATTTCTTCGGCTTTGGCACCTCTGACTGTGCAGTGTACGGCAATTTTTTCATTTCTTCTTATTCCAAATGATCTTACCGTGAATCGGGCTGAGAAATAAAATGGCAGCATTAGTTAAAAAGCAGCCACCACGTCACAAAACAAAATATAAAAAATGAAAGGCACTGAATCGTTTAAAAATGTTTATCATATAAAATATAAATGAACAGCTACAATGATAAACATTTTAATTTTATAATCAATTTTTAATTTTAATTCATGCAAAACCAGCCAACACACCTTTGGAAAAAACTGGCTGCTGTCCAGTGAGCTGTTCCAACACTTTTGCTGCCCTCGTCAGTCTATCTCCCGACTCCCCAACGCAAATGTTCAGACATAGTTTTAAGATCCGAATATCTCGCATGGGATTATTCTTCTTTTTATCATCTTTAGGTGCGGGCTCTTTCCCAGACTAAACGTGTAAAAAGTTACGTTAATAAGTGCCTCATCAATTAACGAAAGTAAAATGAAACGTTTAATAAATTTAATAAAATGATGTTGAAATAATATTTATCAAAACTTTGTATTTAAGATAATGAAGGAATATGAACGATTGTAATGGATTTAAAAATCGAATCATGAGAGGGCACCAACCGACATTTTGATGATTTTTGTTGAAAAGGAAGCTCGATGCGATGTTGACCAACGTAAAGAAATATTGATAAAAGTTCTTTGCACTAAATTATACTCCGTACAAGTGAAGCGCTTCGTAAAATTGATCGATAAAATTAATTTGTCTATAATTTTATTGAAATATGGTGTAAATTTTGTTTATTAATAATAAAAGAGCTATAGAATGTTTTAAAAAATAAAAAAAAAACGTAGCGTAGTTAGGGTACCACATTATATACCTTACATTACAAAGCACATAAGCAGATCTTTCATGGCTCTCTGAACGAAACGTCCGCTTCTCATCTTTCCTCTTCTTAAATCGCTTGGACGCTTTTTTGAACAGTCTCGAAATGGTGAGTTGCCGGATTGTTCTGAAATCTTTTTGCCTAAATATAATAAATTCATTTAATACTTTATTCTCAAGTAATTAGTTTATTTTATTTATTTCTCACCCCCCGGAATTAACTTCCTGAACTACCACTAAGCTAGACTACTAGCACTAGCTAGAGAATCAACTTTTTGTGAAAATTTTATTTAGTTTTGGTTACTTTTGATTTTTTAATTTACAGTGTTTTTAATTAAATTATATTTCTTTTTACTTTTCAGTCTGCGACTTTGCAACCGTACTTAAAAGCGGTCCGTAATACACTTACAGCGGCCATTTGCGTCGAAAACTTTTCCTCTCAAGTCGTTGAGCGTCACAACAAGCCGGAAGTTGAAGTTAGGTACGCTAAAAAGGAAGGCTTTGCTTTTTCATTAAACCTTAACTTGAGTCTAGAAGTGTGTTTTCACTTTAATAGTTTAATACATATAAATAAAGTTTTTCGATAATTTTACCCTTTTATAATTACCTGGAAAGATGGTTTATGATTATATACACATGTAAATTTTATAGGACAAGTAAAGAATTATTGCTGACTCCTGTGGTGATTAGCAGAAATGAGAAAGAGAAGGTCCTTATAGAAGGCTCAATCAATTCCCTTAGGATCAGCATTGCCGTCAAGCAGGTTTCGCAATTTTAACAAATTTTATATTTATTTGATAAAAATTTATTTAATGTGAAAGTGCTTTTCAAGGTTGTTAATTCAATTACTGTTTGTAATTTCACACAGGCAGATGAAATAGAAAAAATTTTATGCAAGAAATTTATGAGATTCATGATGATGAGGGCTGATAACTTTGTCATTCTTAGAAGAAAACCAATTGAGGTATAGTGGAGTATTTTGTTATACAATGAAATATTTGGTTCATATTTGTCATTTTTCTAACTCATAACTACTTTTACCAACATGGTCAAAATCACAGTATAACAGTTTTGTTTAGTTATTAATATTTTCCACATGAAGGGTTATGATGTTAGCTTCCTAATCACAAATTTCCACACAGAGCAAATGTACAAGCACAAGGTTTGAGCTACTCTTAACTTTGAAGAAATTGAAATTAATATATTTTTCCATTCTTGTCCTAAAATATTTTTTATTAAATAATGCCGTACATAATTATATCTGAACACTAATGTTTAACAATCTGCTCAGCTCGTTGACTTTGTGATTAACTTTATGGAGGAAATAGACAAGGAGATCAGTGAAATGAAACTCGCTCTCAATTCCAGAGCCCGTATCTCGGCCGAAGAGTTTCTCAAAAGATTTTAAAATAATGTCTTTTACGTTGATTGTGCATTATTTCTTGAAACAATATTTTGTTAGTCTTATAAATGTAATGTGGATGCTGCTAATGTAACGTGACGTCGTCTCATGCAAATTGTTGAAAATTTTTACGTTTGATTTTATGATGCCGGTACTTATTGTGAATATTAAACTACAGACGAAATTGCTTATTGTAAAAAAAAATTTGATTTGTTGCGTACATCGCCTCGATTCAAATAATGAACGACTGTCCGCGTTCGCCTATGGGTAAAAATAACATCAAAGAATGTTTGATACCTTGCTAACAAAGCCGTGTTTACCAATAGGTTAAAATGGCTGAAGCCTAGGTCTGCAACTTATGAAGTAATAAGGTATGTTAGTAAATAGTGGTCTAATGGAACGATTTTAATTTTTTTAAATCCTGGTCATGTATCAAAAGAATCTACATAAAAAGCACTACGAATTGGGTATAGATATAATGAAATGCAGAGTTCTTCCTCTTCAGGACATTGGCGACCAGCGTCAAAGTCATACGAAAGACGGAGCAAGTGGAATGTTGGGTAACCCTCTAGCTGAACATATGCTTTGACGTAAAGACCGTAATTTTAAATACGTTTAAATATTGAAATTTAAAATTTCAAGCCATAGTTTTTATTCAGTAATACATAATGATGATAACTATTGGCTCAATTCAAGATACCATGCAACGAAAACGTAGTGACTTCCAATAGAAAGTTGTACATTTTTATGCTCATCATGAGAATGAGTACCTACTACGTGAATCTAATAACAAACTATCAGCTTCAATTACTACATCAGCACCACATTCTACGCAATCCCGAACTATAGTGACGGTGTTCAGTTGTACAAAACGATAAATATTCGGTCGATTATCTGTACACTATATATCAAAAACTTTGAGATTTCCATTAGGAAATTATACATTTACACGCCCAGGAGATAGGGAACTCAGGTGAATTTAATAACTCAATTACTCACTACATCAGCTACACATTCAAAACATAGTTCGAGTTCAGTGTTAAATAATGATTCAAGAGACTATGTCAAAAACGTAGTGATGTCCATTGCCAAATTATACATTTTCACACTCAGAAGATTGAGTACTTAACGAGTCAAATATCAAACTACCAACTTTATTCACTTTATCAGCGCCACAAATCGAACTATTGTGCGAGTTCCGTAATAGATTATACACAAATTAGATATTGTTTGGATACTGTACTATCAATCAACCAGCCATTCAATCAATCATTTATTCAATCAACTAACCAAACAACCAATCGATTTAAAAAACTGAGAACAGCATAGCCAAGAAGTAATAGTGATAAAAACTGCGTCATAGCAACATAGCATAATAAGGACAAGACTCCACCACCATGCATTATTTAATGTCCTTCAATAACATTAAAACATTTCTACATATATGTCACAAATAATAATAACGATGGGATATAAATATAAAAGAGATAAGAAAATAAGAATCGTAATTATGGTCTTCCATGCGGAGGGGGCATCATATTCATCGGAGGGAGGCCCATCGGAGGAGGCCTCAAACCTAAACCAAAATGAAAAAAAAATATTATTTTCATTTATTAATATGAATAAGTTAGCCTATTATTATAATTAGTTAACATTAATAGTTAGTGAATGACATGTTGATTTCAAAATGTAATATACAGCCAATTATCTTACAATATTCACATTGCACTAATTTATGCCACTGCTATTTAAATCTACACGAAAGAGGTGATTAAAAACTGACCTGGTGGCATAACGCCAAGACCTGGTGGCAGAGACCCCATGGGGGGCCTCATTGGAGGGGGCATGAACATTGGGGGAGCACCTGGTGGCCCCAGAGGTCCTGATATTTAAAGGGATAACATTTAAAAAATCATTACAGTTGAATAAATATTTACCTGAAAAGCTTAAAAAAAGATAAATGCGATAATCATGCCATGATTATATTTTATTGAAAAAATGGATTCAAATCTGACTGTGATTTGAAAGCTGTTTATTTTTAAATAAGTCATTCATTCAAGTTTTGTGCCTCACACATCATCAGCCTCATCATCGTGTTAGAACCATCACCACAATTGTTAGACAAATAATAATAAAAAAAGATGCAATCATACAAATTTCATCAAGCACTTATTTTAACATAATTATCACTAGTCGACATTCTCATCATCAGTTGAATCACCATCCTGAAACAAACTTGGGGCTAATGCCATTGGAGGAGGAATCATTGCTCCCAATCCAGCAGGACCATTCAAGTAAGGATTTGATGGAATCTTCCCAGCTTTGAAGGCAGCAGCTGTAGCAAAAAAAAATTATCTCGACATTATTCAATAGCTATTTATTAGTTAATAGATAATTAATAAAAAAATTGGTGAAAATTGATTTTAATTACCTTTAGAAAATAAGTCAATTCAAATGAGTTGAATAAAATTAAGCGAAGAAATAGTTAGTACAGGAAATTAATCTTCCTGGTCCGGTTTCAGACAGGCGAGTTTAACTAATTCCAACTTAGAAACTATCATTTCATAATAATTTAATAAACAAATTACTACTTTAAGTTTGATCTAAGTACAAATTAAAAACAAATAACTAACTAGTGTCATCAACAAGTTTCTGTACTTGTTCCTCAAGCCATTTTTGATAGTATGTACAAACATTCTCCTTGTGCTTCCTTCCCCCACAGTGAGTTTTCCGAACTGATGGCTATAATAATAATTAAGAATAATTAGTTAAAAAGAACATTAAATCTCTATTAATTAAATTTTAAAGTTCAAACTTTAAAAAACCCACACGGTTTACTAATTTATTTGTATTTAAAAGACATTTGTTTTTATTTAATAACAGAATAAATTTAACACTTGTGACAAATATTTAAACATTAAAGTGACTTTAGTAAACTTTAATTAAATTAAAGTTTATTTTAAATTTAATTAAATTAACACTAACTAAAATAAAAAAGGGAAAGAATCTTACTTACAGAATCATGAGTCAGATAGGTGTCGCAATAATCACAATAGTACCTGTACAAACGAAAATATTAAAATAAAATTTAAATTTAAAATGTACTCAATGCTCAAGGTTAAAATAATTTTTAATCTTTTAATTTAAATTTAATTAAATCGAGCGATATTAGAAAGATTCTAATACCGGTTATCGTTATGTTATGTTAAAAGTTTTGCAGAAACTAATTGATCAACCCAACCAACCATACGTAAAAAATTTGAAACAAAATTTACTTAGGCATGGTTAATTTTCTGTTCGAAAAGAGAACTACGCTAAAAATGAGAATTCCAGAACTTTCTTAAGATAAAATAAAAACGTAAGCTTTATAATGCTAAATAAACAAGCATAGAAACGTTATTTACGATTTATAACCGGTGAGGGAAAAGATAAAATAATCGAGTACCGATCAAATTCGCTGGAAACTACAACACCGGTACAAGACATTCAGAGATCTCTTCTGAAGTTATAACATTGCGTTGGTAGTGACGAGCTTTCAAGGGTTACAGCAAGGGTTACTCTATCCTTTGAGTAAAGCTTTTAACTCTGCTGCTCGTCTAGTTGCTTGTGCCCCTTTCTTTCCTCATATAGCTCCATATCTTGTTCTCTTGCACTGGCTACCTATAAAATATAGAATAATTTTTAAAATTTGCACGTTCATGTATAAGTCTCAATCTAAATTATTTCCTAAGTATTTATCAGATATATTAATTGAACCTAAACGCCCCGGTTTACGATCGTCTTCTTCTTCTCGCTTTTTCTTAACTCGTGTTAAACACTCTTTTGCCAAATCTGCTTTTGCTTTTTCTGGTCCTTTTCTCTGGAACTCTCTACCTACTTCTCTGACTACTTCTCCATCACTTGCGAAGTTCAGAGCGGATCTCAAGACCCATCTGTTTTCAAAATTCATTGAGGAGCGCTGTTGAACATCGCGGAAATAGCGCTTTATAAGCTAATTGATTGATTGATAGCAACATTTACAAACGTTATGACTTATATGAAAAATTGTTTCTAACTCTAAATTAAAAACAAACCTGATCATCATACATAAACGTTTAAAATGTTTGTCAATATACACACATATAATATATATGCATTCACACACACACTCACACATAAAATAACTAATACATATATATAATATAATTATATATATATATATATATACACACATATGTGAATGTTCATATTGACATGCATACAAATATATTGTATCGTGACTAGAAATAATGATTAATCATTTGATTTAATATAGATACTACAATGAAGCAGCTTATTGAGAATAATGTTTGAAATATCATGAATTACCATTAGCATATTGATATCAATGTAATCTAGTAAAACAAACAAACGATTGATTATGATGAAAAAGCAATAACAATGCAATTGGCATACGACCTCTCAAATAGAAACACAAAATTAAATTTAAAAATTTTGATGAATGAACGAACGAACGAATAGATATATTACTAAATGAATGAATGACTGACAGAATGAAAAATGAATGGAAAACGACTAGACGAATGAATGATTGAATAATCGAGCGACATTTACAAACAGATTGACCTGAGTGATTCTAGACAATAAATAACAACATTTTATAGTGGATACTCAACAATCACTAAACTGATAATTCTTAAATACCAAATGTTGCACGCAGCTAGCCAATGACGCGAAAGGTCAACATTAACAATAGATTACGTTGCAAAATTGCGAAAAAAAATCAAATTAAAAAAAGCAATAAAGAATTAAAAGGATGAACGATATATGCACGTTATAATACAAGACGAAATGAGAAAAATTATAAAAAGCAACGTTTAATACGCACACACCATCATATACATAAATATACTATTAGCATATAAGTAAGAATATTCGAACCTCTTTTTTGTAGATTTTTCGCATCGGAAACAAAAATATGACAATGAAATTGGATCCCAAAATGAAAAACTACCAATCCTTGTATATATATAAATTCATTCTACATATTCTTGTACACATATATATATATAAATATATATGTAACGATAACGGATTTGTACTTGTATGTATGTATATGTATATATATATATATATATATATATATATATATATATATATATATATATATGTTGGTAATAGACCATAATTTTTACAATATTCTATAAATTCTACCGAATGTTTGGCGTTAATATGTTTGTAGTTCGTTAGGGTTATATATATATATATATATATGTATATGTATATATATATATATGTATATATATATATATACTATGGACTAGGGAAGAACAAACAAAAAACCAAAGTACAAAAATTGTGGTGAATTGGAACTAGATGACAATAAATAATAAACAAGAGGAAACGATGAGAAACTGAGAATGTGTGAAGAACCTGCAAGGATGAAAATAAATATAAAATAAAATAAAAACGAACATAACAAGAAAAAATTTTAAGATTTGAAAAATATTTTCACCATCACCACCACCGTCACATTCACTGTCGCCATCAACAGAGGAGGACCATCAGCGTGTCAGGCAGTAGACTTAGATACGGGATGCAGTAAGCTTATATGCTCTGCTCCCTTTATGGGCAGTTTGTTTGTGGCATAATATTGAACCTTTAATGTGATAAAAATTATATTATCGTCGTTATTATCACTATAAAAGTCACCATCTGTATTTATTATTATTTCGTCGCTAACAAAACGAGTCAAAACATTATTGCACGTCAAAAGTAAGCCAGGTTCACACACACACACGCACACTAACGCACGCACAATCGATAAAAAACATCTTCAGAAACAACGAGTACGATAAGCAAAACAAGTAAAAATTACGACAACAATCTCCCACTAACCATCTGCTGCATACTAATAAATGGCTGACTAAACTGCCCGAGTATGAACCTCCCAGAATCGTCATTGTTGATCTTCAGGTGCATGAAACCTTTCGCGCTCCTAGTGATATGTAACAGTTTCGACCTCAGCAAACATTAATTCACACACACAATCAAGCAGCAATGGTCAGCCAACTGATCCAATTCAAAGCAGTCACAACCAACTGACCAACGACAACAAGCATCCATTGTCAGCAGCTGATCAATCATGATTAAACTCAGTAGCTAACCTAACAGATAAAGAATATTCATCGGGCCTATTTTCACTCCTACGAACCAGGAAACTGGCTTCTCTGTGCCTCTGCAACACTGACTCCGCTCCTGCTCGACCTAATTTCCCATGGTACCATCTGTATGGTCAGTTTTTAGGTCAAGTCACATATACTTAAAATTTGGGATTGGGTTATATCATTACAGGCAGTACATTACGTAGAAGAAATGGCCACATGAACGCAAATTAGTAAATGTATTATTGCAACACAACGAAACGATATATCATGACGTTGGTAGGGGTAGTAGTTAAAAACTGCAGAAATCTAATGATGAAAAGAAATAATACATTTGGTCTAAGAGCTGTCTAGCAGCTAACTGCTGTTGTTGCTGTGATGGTGACAAAGATGACGGAGGTGACGCTGATGAGGATGGCGATGTGGACGACGCCGGCAGAGGTGGTAATGGTTTTTTGAATGGAGATGAAGATGCTTGCGCTGCTGCAACATTGAGTTGATGATGCAAATGTTGCTGAGGCGGTTGCTGTTGCAGGCCTAATATGGATACTCTCTTACTGCAACCAACACCGACATCGCCACTGCTACTGCCATTCACATTATTCACGCCCACATTAGCAATATTATTCACATTATTATTAACATTGCTGCAATTATTATTCATATTCACGTTATTATTGTTGTTTGGGTTATTTATAGCAGGATTGGAAAAACCAATTCGAACAGTTTCTTTTGCAATTTTGGCAGTTATGACATCCATCTCGACATCTTTCGATTTCTGGTCCCAAGGGTCGTCGTAATCTTTTTTTGACGGAGGTTTGCTGACAGGGGCCTCTTGTTTTGAAGTAACCTAGACAAGTGAACATGTGAAACTTATTACTGACAGACAAATGAAGAAAGTTTAAATGAGCCAATGCGATATGAACTACAGATAGAGAAAGATTAAAGAATAGCTAAAAAATGAGAGAGAAATAAATGAAAGAGGGAAAAAAGTGTAAAAACCTGGGCATCTTTAGCAAGCTTAGCAGCAATAAGTTCACTCTCAACTTTCAAGCCCTTGTTATCCCATGGTTCTTCATACTCCTTGCTGGATCTTATATTGAATAACATTGAAAATAATTAATCGTGGATGGACATGGATGAACAAAAGAACTACCTATTGTCCTTATCGTGGGGTTTAAGATCCCAAGGTTTCTCATAACCCTCTTGTTTCCTGTTATCCTTCTGGTGTGGCTTCCAATCCCAGGGTGGTTCATAACCTGTTCTCGTCCTCAAATCCAGGTTGTGCGTAACAGCAGCAGTGTCTGTTGCAGCAGCCACGATAATAGTTTGAGAAGTGTCAGCTACGGCCACTGACGTTGAGGATGGCACTGAACCAAGTACGTTGTTGTCTGCATCATCAACCTCATTACCACAACTGTTATTACTAGTAACATCAGTGAAGTTACCATTAATATTACAATTACTATCGCTGTTGGCACTTTCACTCACATTATTATTACCATTAATATCATTAACATTATTATTGTTGCTATTATCAGAGTTTAATACTTTTCCAGCTGTAAGTTTTCTAACAGGAAGATGATCCTGTATGATGTCATTTTGTACCTCATCTGAATTCCAGGGCTCATCGTAGCAGGCTGATCCTCTGGGAGATGTACTCGCTATTGACAAGTCAAGGATGTTTTCTTGTTGCAGTTTGCTGTTGATGTTCGGTTGTTGCTGAAGTTTTTGTAGGTATTGTTGCTGTTGCTTCACAAACTGCTGCTGTTGCCGTTGGTTGGGATGCTGCTGCATTTCTGCAAAGTTAAAAAAGTGTGACACAAGTAAATGAAATCGACGAAGAGAAACTTTTATGCAAAAGTCAAATAAATATAAACATCATATATATATATAAATATTATACATATATATTTCAAATTTAACTAACCAAATTGGCACATCTTCAGGCCATAAATGGGTTCTTCTAACTCAGATTTCAATAATTCCTTTAATCTGGTGTACCTCTCGTAGTCTTTAGTAGTAAGAGAATTTCTTGCTTTTTCATATTCTGATTCTAACTTCATGGCTACCTCTGTTAGAAGACCACCTACTCTAATTTTAGGCGATCCGACTAATTGATGGCTGAGAGTTTGTTTTGAGGTGATGTCTTTGAAAACTTCTGACCTGGCCTGCTGGAGAACTGTGAGGATGTCGGAAAGAAATCTAGCATTTTCTATATCGGTTTGTGAAGGAGGATGAGAAATGGAAGTTGCTGATGAACATGACGTCGATGGGGGCGAGTATCTCTTATTTGGTTCACTCATCTCTGCATGATTTTGAAAAAATACAATTAATTAAATTACTACTTTTGATCAATAAATTTTTTTTTTCAAAGTGGTCATTTTTATGTAATCAAATAAAAAATTTTGAGTAACTAATCTTTAATACCTTGAAGCCATTTTTTGACCTCATTCCAGCAGTCTTCATTGAACAGAGTTGCATGCTTATTGCTTGCACTTACTACATTATTGTTGCCTTCATCATTGTCAATGTTAATGGTTGGGGAAGCAAACATATCATGATTTTCATATATGTTTTTTGGCTTCAAATAATCCTGAGAATAATTTTTTAAAAATAATCAAACAAGTTGTCTGTATTGTATGCAACTCTGAATTAATTAATGAATTATCTTAATATATAATTATAATAAAATCATTAATTAAAAATAGAAAGGAGCAAACAGCTGAAGGCACAAGTGGAAATAATCATTATTTTATTAAGTACTAACAAAAAACAACAACACGTTTCCTTACTTACACCAATAACGTTATTTCCTTCGAAGTTATAAACACTGGAGAATCTACCATGCTGATTATTGTCACTAGCATCCAAAGATGAATTATCAAGAGAGGAGACGGCCAGGTACAAATCATTAGAAGCAAGCGTCGAACGAACGGCTGACGATACGGTAATGTCAAGCGAGTTTTCCGACTCGCTATTAACTTGGGCCAAAACGGATGGCGCAGGCACGAACGCTTCGTTATTAGATTCAGTAAATTGCGGCCTAATTCGATCGCAGTCAAACCGTGTGCCAGACGAGACCGGACTGGTGGATGTTTTCTTACCACCCCCACTGATCCCTAAATGTTTCAATAGTTTCGCCATATTCCTCACTATTTCAAATTTTTAATGCATTTTTGGTGACAATTTTGCATATTAGCCCGATACCAAAAATTGTCAACGTCAGCCATGACAATTAACGCAAGACGGTACGAGAGAATTAGGACTGATATTGAACATGAAGATTCGGTAAAATGCCGGTCGACGCAATGCGAACAATGAACTCAAAAATCACTCCAAAGTAAACCACAGCAGGGAAAACCAAACGAGTACAAAAATCTAGAAAGCTGTACAACAAATCGGCTTTCCGTCGATTAGAATGAAACACACGATAAATATAACAATACAGCATAAGGTGAATATTTAAATAACAATAAAGATCAATACAAATAGCATCATTTGACAGGCTTCATGTGCCAGAGACCATCATTTAGGAAGTGCACAGTTTCAATGCCTATCCCTTTGTTAATGTTTAGACTGTAAAATTTCAAATTATAAATTAAAAAGTTATTTTAAATAAAAGTAAAATCCTAACATGAAAAAATAAAATAACAAGTATTTGATAAAATTTGTACAAAGTTGAAATGAACAGATTAAACAACTGAAAAAATCATTATTTTATTGCTTACATGTCTTTTGAAGACATTTTTGTCAAACCAACAGCAACTGCATGGGATTTGCCTTCTGCCATCACTGCCTTATATAATTTCAATAGAATTATTCATCAAAACTTAATTCATAAAACTTTAATTTATTCTGAAAAAAAAATGAAAGGGCCACATTACCACAACTTGATCAGCCTCAACATTTGCCATTTTTGCACCAGGTGACGTGAGACCAGGGCACATGATGTTTGCACCACTGAGAATAAACTTAATTGCTCCTTTATCTACTTGCATTGGTGGAGCCATGAATGGATCTTGATTTGAGAATAGATATAATGATTTATTCAACAAACATGTTAATTTTTGTAAAATATTAAATCAATAAATATATAAAGGAAAAACAAGTATATATACATTTGTGCAATAACTTGAGTGTTGGATAAAACGGTCCTTCCCTTTGTCTAAAAAACAAATATTCACCATCCTTTCCAACCAGAATTTCAATGTGATCTTGACTAGATTAAGAAAAATAATAAAAGTAATTGACATTAGAACATTATCAATATCAATATTATGCAGTGTTTTTTAAATAAATTATTTTAATATTAAATTAACTTAAGTGAATTTATTTTAAGACTAGAAGAATTACCATTTGGCCACCCTCAAGGAATCTTTTTTAGATAGAATATCTTCTAAATATGTTTCCAGGTAAGGAAATTGCTCCAAAAGCTTAGCTCTAATAGCTTTCTGAACTGATGATTTTACATTGTTTATTCCACTGACGTTTTCTTTGTCATCAAACCTACAATAATTTGGTAGAATGTTAGATTGGTGCCACATTGCAGTTGTTTACGAAATGAAATAAAAATGTAAAATAAAAAGGCAAAAAGGTTTTGTAAATTTATATTAATACTGTTAAAGTGTTAAATGTTAATGAAGTTAATTTAACAAGTTTGATCAGGTAATAAAATATTTAAAATAGTGCTTTGGATTGTTTAAAAATACCAACTAAACAATTACAAATATTTTAACTATAAAAAAATAAACCTTTTAAAGTTAATTTAACATCTCTTGTAAACCACATCATTTTTTTAATTTATAAATTTTATATAGTTATTAATAAATAATAATAATAATTAAAGATTGGCTCCTCCTCAAATATAAAAACCATTTTGTCAGCAATAGCGATGTGGTACCAATAAAACTTGACTTCAGAATTGATTAAGTTAGAATCTGTCAGATACTTGAAGCATACTAATACCATCACTACTATTACAATGAATATGATGTTGATGGTTGTCAGCCAATCAAATAAAATTCAAGTTGATCATTGAAGACAAAAAGAAAGAAAAGGTATTATTTACTTTTTGAACATTTTCTTCGGAATCACAAATTTATTAATTACACAAAAAGGTATATTGAATGGCTTGAAATGTTAAATTAAAATTTAATTGCAAAACGACAACATAACTCTAATTTATCGTTCAAAGCATAGTAATTAATAAAAATCTTTCCAAAGAACATTATTTGAAATTCATATTTCAAATTATAAGCTATAATCCGGTTGTGAAAATTTTAAAACTAATAATTTGATTATCATTAGTATTATTTTTTGCAATTCATGAAATAAATTTTGAAAGCTCTTTCATGTAAGAAACTGTTAAGATATAACTATACTGCTTGATTGAAATTACTTTTATTATTGCTTAAAAATAGTTTTATTTAATTCAGTTTTGATTGAAAAACAAACTTTAAATGCAATAATTTGTATATTTCAAAAAGTACAACCAAATTATTCAACAAATTTTCCACATACAAGGACTATTTTATGATGCGATAAACTTTGGTCAAAAACTAAGAACTAATTTAATTTTTTACCCGATTGATAATCTTCTGCCGCAAGGCTATAAATAGCCTTGCTTCTCACGTGGCCGCATTTCTTTGTGTATCCGCGCCTTTTGTAAGAGAATTTGAAGAAAAAAATGGCAGCCCAACCGAAAGTCGCGAAAGTTGAAGGAAAAAATAAAAAAGATGCCTCGTTCGAAACTGCTGGTTAGTTTAATTTATTTTTATTAATTATTCCCTTGTTTAATCTGTTTTTTCTGGCATTGAAAATATCGTGTTTTGTGATGATCGCAACGCTGGCGTCCGGCGTAAGAATTCACATGTTTTAATGCGATCTCGTCTCCATTTTATTTTTTTTCTTTACAAATTGTTTCAATTTATTTTCGATTAAAGTCACTGTTTTCAATTTTTATTTAATTATATTTTTCATCTCCCCCTTATTTCCTCTAATTTGAGTGCCGGTTTCCCTCAAAATCACTAATTTAATCGTGGAAGCGTGCTCTGCTTGTTGCACTGTCTTGTTATTTCCGCTGTCATCATCAATTTTTAATCGAAATTGTTTCTCAAATTATGTTAATTTGCGGCTTACAAACTTATTCTCGTTGTTTCACCAAGTTAATATTTTTTTTATCATTAACTCAACATGATCTCTTTTCGATTAATTTTTGATAGATAAAGAACAGCAAGAGGCCATAGAAAAGATCGATGAGGTACAGAATGAGATAGACAGATTGAATGAGCAAGCCAGTGATGAGATCCTCAAAGTCGAACAGAAGTACAACAAACTTCGTCAGCCCTTTTTTCAGAAGAGGTCGGAGATGATTGCCAAAATCCCAAACTTCTGGGTCACAGCCTTTGTCAACCACCCACAAGTTTCTGCTCTTCTTAATGACGAGGATGAAGAAGTTTTCCATTTTTTAACCAAAGTTGAAGTACAAGAGTTTGATGACATAAAGTCTGGTTACAAAATAACTTTTGTAAGTTATTTTATTTCACTTTTATTGATCCTAATTGTAGTATAAGACATGAATTTCAGTATTAATATAATTAATATTTATTTTCCCCCGCAGCACTTCAAAGAAAATGAATTTTTCAAAAATCAGACCATCAGCAAAGAATTTCACCTGAATGAAACCGGTGAACCATCGTCGATATCGACACCAATTAATTGGAAGAATGGAAAAGTAAGCCTAATCTTAAAATTTTTCTTTTCTCAAAATCTCATTACCTAACTTCACTTCTATTTAATTTCAGGACTTAGTAAAAAAGTATGCTGCCAAGGGTGGTTCTGGAGATCGCAAACGAAATCACGAAGATCAGCAACCAGAATCATTTTTCAGTTGGTTCTCAGACAACAGTGATGCGGGTGTTGATGAATTGGGAGAAGTTATCAAGGATGATATCTGGCCTAATCCTTTACAATATTATCTGGTGGGTTGTGTAGTTGTGTATTTCAGTGCCATCTTGTTCTGGTATAAATGACTGTGTGCTAGTTTTTTGTTTTTTATCTTAAAATTAAACTTTATTCTGTTTTGCAGGCTTCAGAAATGGATGAAGACCATAGTGGCGAGGAAGGTGACGATGGCGTCGACGACGATGAAGATGGTGACGGTGTCGATGAGGATGATGATGAAGAAGATAGTTAATCTGTCAGTAGCATTGATGAGGACAATAATGTTTAATAATGTTTCATGATTATATTTGATGATGTATGTCAGTTCTTTATGTGAATGACAATTACTAATAGATTGATGACAATGTGAATGTAAAAACTCTAATGTATGCTGTTTAATTTGTGTGTTTAGATATACAACTGACTGTTATGAATTCAAATATTTTTATCTGTAATAATTTTATTATGGCGTTGACAGATGTTTGGGGTTTTATTAAAAATCAATTTATGTTCGTTTCATTGATTGCTGTACATGAACCTTGGCAGTTTTTGTGTTTCTGTGAGGCATATTTAGTTTAAATTGTTAAGTTATTTTAGAGGTAACCTCTTTAAAGTCATTAGTGTGCGTAAATCTTTTAAAATTAATTTTCGAATGATGTGTGTTTTAATGTATCAGTGGATATGTTTGTATTGATTCGTTCGTGCACCCTTTAACTGGCAAATGTGTGGTTCTTCTATGTTGTAGGTATTGTATTTCACGATTGGTATATATATATATATTTATGTATGTTAATCTGTTTTACTTGTGTCAATTTTTTAAAATAATGACATCTGTCTTCGTCGACGTTGTGTCTCCATTGTCAGGTTTTTGATACGTTTTTAATAAAGACGAACTTTTTTTAATTCGTTCCTTTATCGTGATAGAAACGGGGAAGGTCTTAAGTTTAGGTCGTCACCAGTCTAAATTATAAAGTTTTCTAAATGTTCTCCACTGAATGTAAGTGGTTTTAGGTTATTTAGCCGTGCTTTAAGTCTCCTGCCTGCTCCATTGTTTTAAATCTTAAAAATGCGGCTTCGTTAAAATGAAACTTATAATAAGATGGGTTTTTGTTGTAGTTTTGCAGCATCTAATGAGCCGTTCGGTTTTATCGGGTGATAGTTTATTTTTCCGTCCCCACGAAACTAAAAACATTCCTTTAGTTATTTCGACATGGAATTTTGATCAGGCCACGAAAGCCGGTATGTTCGGTTTTGCTGGTCTGTTGGATGGATCATGTTCATGTCATTTTTTTAGATTTTACGTTCATAAAATAAAGGAATTTCAATTAAATTATTAATAATTATAATAATTTTTTTATATTGTATTTTATCATAAATTTTTTTCATTTAATTTAAAATCATAAATGAATTGGGTTGCGTGATTAAAATATTATTAGTTTGAATTTTGCTTTGCATCTCTTCTTACTTTCTTAGTTTTATAATTTATATAGCCTTTTTTTAATTTTAAAGCTTTTATGCATTTTTTTTCAATTATTACTAGCCTGGGAATTCCTTACAAAGTTAGGTAAAAGCTCAGTAGATGCCGTAGTTGCAGGGTGTTCTAAGTGCGAGATTGACAGATGTGATGGTTCTGTGGGGGAGGGTGGCAGTCCCGATGAAAATGGAGAGTCCACACTGGATGCTCTTGTTATGGATGGGTCAGTCAGTCTAATTAATATTAATTATTGATCAAGGTGAAATTATTTTTGTATTTATAATTATCATTATTTTTTATATTATAAAATTTAGTAAAATTCACTGGTTATAAAAGATTAATTAGTGCAGTAAAGACTGAAGTGTGCAATGGTTAAAATTTAAAATCAGTAAAGGTAACAATTGTTATTACATTCATTGCATCACTGAAAAAATAACTTTGAATATCAGAACGACGATGGACGTGGGGGCTGTTGGTAACTTGAGAGGAATTAGGGAGGCCAGCAGTGTAGCCAGAGATGTGCTTCTCAGGACTGAACATAGTCTTCTTGTTGGTAGTCTTGGTCAGTATGATGGTGATGGGGGTGATTAATTGATTCAAGCAATGATGATGATTCAGACGATTCAGATGATAATTATTAACTGATTGTGTAATCATCAGCTTCAGATTTTGCTGTCAAAATGGGTTACAAGTTTAGAAATTTAAGCTCCAATGAATCAATTAACATGTGGCAGATGTGGAAAAAGAATAACTGCCAGCCAAATTTCTGGCAGGTAATAATAACAATGATGGTGATATTAATATTAAAGGGTTGGGAAGATGATAATGTTGTTTTTGATCATTAGTTGAGTAGTGAATTTTTAAAAAATTTTTTTTCTTCAGAATGTCACACCAGACTCTAAAAAATTTTGTGGACCCTACAGACCAATAGACGTCAATCATGACAATATCAATAAAAATTGTGATAGCTCTAACGATGACAACATCGTATTTGACTCAACTAATCATGACACAGTAAGCATTGTTGCAATCGATTTCAATGGTTCCGTGGCTGTTGGCACCTCATCCAATGGAGCCAAATACAAGATACCTGGGTGTTTATTAATGGTTTTTATGGGTGTATTAAAATATCTAGGTATTGTGTCTATTTAGTGAATATATATTAGTATTGTGTTTTATTTTATTGAATTGTGTTGTATTAGTTGTTTTAATGTGTATGTTAGATAAATAAGTTGAATTCTCTCATGGAATTGATTATCGTGGTGATGGTGATGTTGATCAGGAGATCATATAATGTTGGTAGTGATGATAATTTTTAATAGGCGTGTTGGTGATTCCCCGATCGTTGGATCAGGCGGATATGCAGACAGTGAAGTTGGTGGAGCTGGTGCTACTGGGGATGGTGATGTCATGATGAGATTTTCACCAAGGTCATCATCATTATTTTTATGACTGTTAATTAATATTATTTTAACATTAATTGTTTTTATTTATATTTCTATGCGTTTACTTGTCAAATTTTTAATAGAGAATTTCTTCTAACTTATTATCATTGTAAAAAATGCATTATTACTCTCATTCATTTTAGTTTTCATGCTGTTGAGTTGATGAGGAATGGCATGGACCCGATTAGTGCGACCGAATTAGTGATAGGTAGGATAAGGAGACATTACCCGATGTTTTCCGGAGCAGTTATTGCCGCTAATGTAAATGGAGAATTCGGTAGTTGATATTATTAGAATGTTATATTTCATTTGTTATTTTTTTATTTTTTTCATTTTTAATTATTTTTGAATTATTTTGTTTAATTGATTAAACGTGTGTCTGATTTAATTCTGTCTTACATTTGTACATACATTGACCTTATAGGTTTTTAATCAAAGTTATAGGTTATTTATTTATACAATTTTTATCTCTACGTTCCAGGGGCAGCTTGCAATGGTTGGAGTTCTTTTCCTTTCACGGTGATGAAGCCTGGCTTTGATGATGTACGAACATTTCACGTTGTATGTCCATCAAATAAATAATTAATTTTTGCGCTTTGTTGTCTATTCACTCATCTGTTGTTGCATTTAGGCTATCAACTCTCATTAGATTGTCGGAGTTTGATTATTATTAAAATAATTTTCTAACGTTTGCACAAGTTGTGAAGCGCTGGTAATTAATTTTCAAAACCCCTAATTTTTGGTTGTTAGACAAACCAAACGCGAAAAGTTAATTCAAGTTAAATGTTGATAATGTGACATTGTAAAGTTCAAAATAGTATTTAAACCAGATGTTGTCATTGAATCATTTTATAACTAATCAAATATTTAAAACGTTTTTATTAAAGATCTAGAAAGTAAGATTGCTAAAATCAACCCGATAAGAAAATTTTACGAACCTGAGCATGAGATGAATCAGAGAGATGATTTCATTCACAGCTGTTTAGAGCTTTTTAAACATATGAGAGATTCGTAATGAATATTTCTATAAGAGTATAAGTATAATTTGGTCTAAAAAATTAATAAATGTGAATGAATTTTAAGGCACTTAAATAAAATCAATCTACCATGAGTTGCAAAGAATGAATTGCTATTGGTTGTTAGTGCTGATAATGGATTCTTACTTCTCAACCGTTCATCTAGATTCTTTGGTTTTGTATTGTCAAAATAATAAAATTACTTGAAATTTGTCAGTTTTGCAATGGTGATAATAAAAAATAGTGTGAGGTTTTATATACCAGCATGTCATCACCCATGTAGTAAAAATAATAATCGCCATCATTAATAATTTTTCAAATATTAATCAATAATTGCGGTGAACCACAACGAAAATCAATTAATCAAATTATGCCTAGGACCGTTCCACTTTGATGTTTGTGGGGGGTGGACAGGTTAATGAACCCAACATGAAAATGCAGTGCTGCAGTACTTTTATATGTGGTGTTTCTTTGTTTTTTAGCAGGGAGTGCATTGCATATAAATGGAGATGCACAATACAAAGACACACACAAACACGCATATATATATATATATATATATATATATATATATATATATATATATATATACATACATACATATATGTATACAAATGCTATATAATATATATGTATATATATATATATATACAACTGATAGAGAGCTTGTTCTTGGTCTTATCATATCCGACAATCTATCAAATAAAATCAGATAAAATCATCTGGCGTCATCATCATCATCGTCGTCGAAGTTCATCATCATCACCGTCGTCATCATCACCATCTTAATTGCCATCATCGTCGTCGTCGTCATCATTCCTAGCACGAGTAGCCACTTCAAGCAGACATCAGCAGAACCTTAATTGTCATCTTCGCTAATTATACACTAGGGAAGAGAGAGAGAGAGAGAGAGATAAAGAGAGAGGGAGGAAAAGAGAGAAAGAAAGTATATGAGTATTTGTGGGTGGGTATTCAGTTGCGGACGTGTGCATTATTTTAGAAGGCTAA